ATAAATTATTGTGGAGCTTCTGTAGTTGAAAGTATTTATACTTTGATGTCATTTTTTTGTGAAGTCTGTATAATATTAGTCAAGATTGATGTATCCAAGTTGTATTTCCCTGCAGGTCTGTACATTTACTTTTACAGCATTTTACATTTGAAGCTTCATGAGAAGCATCTTGCAGTGTATGTGCTTTTTGCTGAGCAAAAATCATCATATTTGGGATATATATTTCCGTGACTTGCCTGAGGGATAGCATTTCTTAGTGTTTTTAACTATTTACCATTCTTTGTATTGTATACTGTATTCAACACCTGCCTCCTCAGTCCTCTCCCTTCACCCCCAGGAACTCTTCTCATCTCGTTTCGGCTTTTCAGTTTATTTTTATTGGATGCTGAGACGGGTAGGGGGTGGGTATGCCCCTCATACGAGAGGATCTAATGGGGATTATCTGTAATTGTAAAATGTCTTGGGTGAAGAATGTTCATACGCTGAAGGGGGTGGGATATTCACATTGACGGTTGTTTAGGATTATGATATTATTAAGAAGCCAGATGTGGTCTAACTGGACCCCGGTCAGTCGGTCATGAAGCATGTGATTCCTTCCTAAAAGTCAACCGAGATTGTGCAACAGTGTTTGTATGAGTGTTTACATTTCAGTTAAATTTAAAGCAATTGTAATGTTGGTTTTTGTGCTGTTATTGAGGAATGAGGTTTAAACGATTAAACAGGTGTATGATGTTTTTGGTTCAAACTTCAACCATATTGAGAGATCAAGCAAGAGCCAGCATCGAATGTGGTGCAAAACATTGTTTTGACTTGTGATTGTGAATCAAAGTACTAAGTCAACGACTACAAAACAAGAAGGTTCAACTATCAGACTTCATATTTTAATGTGTAGTAGTGGTGAGAAGTTTGTTTAAACTCCGCAAAATATTTGTAATATTTTGAATTTTTGATAATTTTTTTGCTATCTTTCATCATATCTAACTGGTCACTGTTTCTTTAGATTTCCATATATAGGGAGTGTTGGTTCCCGAATCCCGGCCTATTGGACCAGTTCCAGGTCGTTCATTTGAGATCATGTCTATGGCGATAAGCATTTTTACCATTTCACTTGCATGTATAGTTTTTTTGAATGGAAAAACCTTATATTGATATATCAAAAACACGTAAAACAATTTCTAGGAAATGCGCATTATTGACTAATCACTGAACGTGCAAGTAACATACAATAACAAAATAGAGAGACTTGCACTGCAAAGTATCCACACCATTTGTCCAGGTATAGTTAGGCATAGACTCAGACCAGGTTGGGTCTGACCGGGCTTTTTTCTGGATTCTTGAGGCCCGGAATCACACCATTTCTCTACTCTTTAATTATCTTCATCTTCTCAAATTCTCTTATTCTCCAATATATTATATATCTACTTATATTATTTATCTACTTATAAATACATACGTTATATTTCTTATCTACTTATGTAGTTATATATTAATTATCTATTCATAAATACATATATTATATTACTTATATTTCTTATCTACTTAATCTCTACTTATTATCTACTTATATCTACTAAATACATACATATTACAATTTATATCTACTTGGTTTGAATTGTTAGTACATTTTAGTACGAATTAGTACATTTTATGTAATACTTTGATTGTTAGTACATAAAATAATTGTTAGTCCGAATTAAAGTTAGAATTGTTAGAATTTTATTTCATTAGTTTGAATTGTTTTTATAAATTAATATTTGTTACATTTTTAAGATGGAAGGTGGTAGATATTCGGTTGATATGGGTAACCTCGACCGCAACCGAACGAAAGAGCTTGCGAGGAAGAGATCCCACAAAAGGTAAATCACATATTAGCTCTTCATCTCAAAGTCGAGATGATTTTGATACAGGTTACGCAAGGAGGGATGCGATGACCGACGAACAATTAGAACAAGAATTGCATCGACATAATAGTCGGTTTTTCCAAGATCAGCCGATGATCATTGATGAAGAAGAGCTTGAGGACGACGATGTGGAGGAAGTAATTCCGGAGAGCCACGACGTCGACGAGCCTGCCTCATCCAAATCAGTACGAAAAAAAGTAAATCTGAACTAATGTTTAATAATTTTGATAAGTGGAAGGACCCGAACACCGGGAATTGGAATGCAACTTGCAAGTGTTGCAAGAAAAATTATAGCTTGGAGATTTTCAGCGGATACGGATTCGCTGCAAGGCATCTTAAGGCCAAACACACGACGGAGTATGCAAAATTAGGCGGCGGAACGGGGAAGCAAACTCAAATATCGAGGTTTACTAATAACCAACAACCTTTTGGTAATTTCTCATACAATGATGCAGAAAATTTGACTGGTATGCCTAACTTACTTGTTGAAGAAAATTTGCCTTATTTGTTTTTTGAAAGTCTTGCTTTCAAAGATTATGCACAAACTTGTTTAAATCCTCAATATAGAGGTTATAGTCGCAAAACGGTTAAGAAAGAAATTTTAAGGCTTTATGGTGCGAAAAAGGTAAGGTTACAAAATTATTTTGCAAACTTCATGTTACTGTATGTTCTGACATATGGGAGAATACTTATCATAATTTACATTATTTGGGTCTGACTGCACATTATATTGATAATGATTGGAATATGCATAAACGTGTTCTTGCTTTTCGTGAATTTAATGATCGTCACACCGTTAAACATATTTATATTTTGATTGAGCGTATTTTAATTGAGTATAATTTGAATGATAAGGTGTTTGCTATTGGTTTTGATAATGCTACTAATAATACTGCTGCTATTCCTACATTGCGTGAATTGTGTGGTGCTACTTTTTTGATAGGTAGATTTTTTCATCAACGATGTGCATGTCATGTTCTAAAATTATGTGTGCAAGATGGTCCAAAAGCGTTAGGAGATTCTATGGAGGTAGTCGGGGGGGGGGGGGGTTAAACGTATTTGAGGTAATTGTCAACTTAGAAAAAATGACATGATTATTTGATAGAAAGAGGTGTGAAATGGTGTGAAATATGTGACTTTTCCTAAAGATTTGTCTATTCGTTGGAATAGTACTTATAAGTTAATGACAGTTCTTCTTAGATATAAAGAATATTTTCCTGCTTTTTTAAAACAATATGATAACTATATTATAAACTCGACTGATATCGACACTTGCGAAAAAATTTGTAATGCTTTGGTATATTTTTTTAATGCAACCGAAACTTTTAGACATGTTTATAAACCTACCTCAAACCAATTTATTCGTGAAGCTGTTAATCTCGCTGATGCTTGCGGAATTTGAGAATTCCGCTTATGTGAGTTATTTTGCTGAGAAGGAAAAGTTTTTAAAATATTATGCACATATTCCGCATATTTATGGTATTGCATTTGTTCTCGATCCTCGTTTTAGACTTGGTTCTTTAGAAGAATGTTTGAACTATTATTATGCCGCTTTTTTTGTTCATCTTCCAATGTATGACGATAACGCAATTGATCCGAAAAAAGAATACAACGAGGTTAGTGATATATTTTATGCATTATTTAATGAGTTTCATGCACAATATGGCAACGCGCCATCTCCCCCGACACAAACATCTTCATCTAAAGGAAAATCAATTTTGAAATCTACATTTGGCAATCTTATTTAAAAAACTAAAACAAGAGAAATTACCCAAAATATGACTAAAACCGTTTGTATATTCCAAAATAGGACTATCATGTTTTTATTCCCAAAATAGAACTAATTATTGCCATGTTTTGGCAGTACCAGAGTTTAAACATGGCAGTATTTTCCAAACTTGGCAGTAATTACTCCCATTTCGGGAATAAAATTATGACAGTCCTATTTTGAAATTTCAAACTTTTTCACTCCTATTTCGGGAATTTTCTCATTTAATAATGGTGATACAATATAAGTAATGTAAAATGAACTAGAGTATTTAAATATATTGATTTTTACAAAATTTAAAATACATTGAGACCTAGATGGATACTTAATATACACATATTACCAATTACAAAATAAAAACAAATGTTGGAACATTATAAACATAATTGGGAAGTGTAATAATAGCATTGATGTATATTTATTAGTATTTTTGTTATAAATTAATTAGTTAATAAACTAATTATTTAATACTAATAAAAGGAACAAAGCTTCTTTCTCTAAATCCTGGGAGCTTCTCTCTCTAGGGTTACCGCTGCCGGTAACGCCTAGCGTCCGACTTTCGCCACCGGTACTGCCAGGGGCCTCTTAGCCGCTGCTGGTAGGCCGGTTGCAGACCGGGGCTGTTTTTCTACGAGTTTTCTTTGAAACTTCATTTTTTTCCTTGTGCGTGCGATCCTCTCTGGCAGTCTCGACGGAAGGGCTACGCAGCAACAGTTTATACATTTTCGACGAATTGCGTGAACCAATTGGAGGTGAAAGTGACCAACGATATTCCCGAGAGGAAGCTTAGGCAGAGTGGTTGTGCATGGAAGGTGTTGTTGATAAGTATAGAAAAATGGCACTTCAGGAAGAGGAGGAGGATTTGGATCTTGATGATACAGAGACAGAGGAACCGTCGGTGGAAGGAAACAGGCCGGGTTTTCCGATGGTAGGAGTCCTGTTGACAGACCACAAGGTCAGATTTCCAGCTATCAAAGAGCTTATGGCTTCGCTATGGAGGCCGGGCAAAGGTCTCTCGATCAAAGAAGTCAGGGAAAAAAGGTATTTGTTTACTTTCTATCATCGTGTGGATATGAATCGTGTTCTTGAGGGATAGTGGTGGACTCAGTTTGGGTCGGGCTCGGTTCGGGCCTTGAACCAGCCGGGCCTCGGTTCACGGTATGGGACTATGGGAGGCTCAGAACCGGCCCGGATAACCCCGGGTCCGGTTCGGTTCGGGTCACCCACCCGGTTCACGGGCCGGGCCACCCGCCGGGCCGAGCCTTTTAATTTTTTTTATAATTATATATTATATTATTAGAATAATTCTTATTACAAAAAAAATTGAAGTTGTAAGTTATAAGTTTGTAACCAATTAATTAATTTAAGTTATAAGTTTGAACATTATTGAATTGATGTACACAATAATATAAACTAGTTCAAGTATATTTATTTCAAATAAGAAGTACAATTGAGAATTAGGATGAATTTATTTCCTCCATAAAGTGACGGGTGGGAGCGATGGTAATTTCTTGAGTTCTTCGTTGGGCCTTCAACCAATCGTGAAAGCAAACTAGCATCTCAAGAAAGCTCGGGCTCAACCTCGTTCTATAATCGATTAGGACGTTGTCGGCCGCACTAAATTCTAGTTCCACGGCAACGGTTGATATCGACATTACTAGCACTTGCTTAACCATCTTTGATAAAATCGGGAACGTTCTTTCAGATTCCTTCCACCACTTAAGAACGTCAAAGTCATCACCAACTTCATAATCAACATTCAATGTTAGATACAAAGAAAACTCGTTACCTGAGCTTTGTTCAGTAGTGGGAGTTGCTCTACTTTTTTCAAAAGAATCAAAAGCGGATTTCAAAAGTGATTTTCCTTTAGATGAAGAAGATGTTTGTTGCATGGGAGGGGATGCATTACCATATTGTGCATGAAATTCATTATACAATTGATGAAATAAATTACTAACCTCGTTGAATTCTTGTTTAGGGTCGATGGGATTATCATCGAACTCTTGAGTTGGAAAAAAAGAAACATAATCGTAATCTATACAATTTGCCAAGTAAGCAAGTTTATAACGAGGATCAAGAACAAATGCAATACCATGTATATGTGGAATATGTGAATAATATTTTAAAAACTTTTGTTTCATGAAATCACAAAAATAACTAACGTAAGTGGCTTCGGAAAATTCACAAAAAGCGCCGGCGAGATTAACAGCTTCAACAAAAAATTCGTTTGCGGTAGATTTATAAACATGACTAAAAATTTGAGTTGCGTTATTAAAATATGCCAAAACATTAACAATTTTTTCACAAGTGTCAATGTCAGGCAGGTTTATAATATAGTTACAAGTTTGTCTTAAAAAAGCAGGAAAATGATCTTTATATCTAATAAGTACTTGAATTAAATTATAAGTACTATTCCAACGAATAGACAAATCTTTAGGAAAAGCACAATAATTGACACGTCTTTCCTTCAAATATTGCCGCCATTGCATTTTTAGTGGAGTGCTAGCCCAAATCAATTTAATTCCCCCATTCACTACCTCCAAAGCATTTCCTAATGCCGCTAAGTCATCTTGTACACGCAAATTTAGAATATGACATGCACAACGTTGATGAAAAAACCTACCCATCAATGTAGAAGCACCACACAATTCACGCAATCTAGGTATAACAGCAGTATTATTACTAGCATTATCAAAACCTACAGCAAACACCTTATCAATCAAATTATATTCAATTAAATACGTTCAATGAGAATATAAATATTATCACTAGTGTGACGATCATTGAATTCACGAAAAGCAAGAACACGTTTATGCATATTCCAATCATCATCAATATAATGTGCAGTAAGACCCAAATAATATAAATGATGATAAGTATCCTCCCATATATCGCTACAAATACTAACACGTCCATCAAAGTTTGCGAAAAATGTTTGTAATTTTTCTTTTTTGAAGTTATATTGCCTTATAACTTCTTTTTTAATCGTTTTGTGACTATAATTTCTAAATTGAGGATTTAAAGTACCTTGAGCATAATCTCTTAAAGCAAGACTTCCGGAAAAAATATAGGGTAAATTTTCTTCAACAATTAAATAAGACATACCAGTCAAATGTTTTTTATCATCATAGGAGAAATTACCAAAGGGTTGAGAATTTGCAAACCTCGATATTTGTGTTTGCTTCCCCTTCCCTTTGTCTATTTTCGCATACTCCACAAAGTGGGTGGACTTAAGATGCCTTTTGAGACTCCCGTATCCGCCAGAAGTTCCCAAGCTAAACTCTTTGTTGCAATGATTGCAACTTGCGTACCATTTTTCGGTATTTTGGTCTTTCCTTTTTGTATAATTGTTTTCAATAATAGGAGATTTAGATTTCTTACCAATTTGGGTTGAACAGCCCTCGTCCTCCAACTCTTGCTCATCATTCGGGGTGCCGTGAGTCCCGTCGCCCCCCGCGTCCTCCTCCGCATCGTCATCCTCGAGCTCATCTTCATCAATGGTTGTCGGGAATTGTTGTTCTTGTGCAAAGCGTGGATCATTTTGGGACAATAGGTGTTGTAGTTGCTCGTCGGACATCATCATATCATCTAGCCGTTGGTAATCCGTTTCAAAATCATCTCGACTTTGAAAAGAAGACTCGGCCCGCGCTTTACCTTTGCCTTTGCATAAAGTAGATCGAGTCGATGCAATCTCCCTCTTGCGGTTGCGTTGGAGATTACCCACATCTACAGAATGTCTACCACGCTCCATCTTTAAAATTGAACAAATATTAAATGATATCAAATATTTTATATGAGTACAATATTTAACTACTATTTTTACTTTAATGAGAAATGTAGCAATTAACTAATATGAGAAATGTAAAAATTAACTACTATTTTTACTTTAATGAGAAATGTAGCAATTAACTAATATGAGAAATGTAAAAATTAACTACTTTTTTTTACTTTAATGAGAAATGTAGCTATTAACTAATATGAGAAATGTAAAAATTAACTACTTTTTTTTACTTTAATGAGAAATGTAGCAATTAACTAATATGAGAAATGTAAAAACTAACTACTTTTTTTTACTTTAATGAGAAATGTAGCAATTAACTAATATGAGAGATGTAAAAATTAACTACTTTTTTTTTACTTTAATGAGAAATGTAGCAATTAACTAATATGAGAAATGTAAAAATTAACTACTTTTTTTTACTTTAATGAGCAATGTAGCAATTAACTAATATTAATATGAGAAATGTAACAATTAAGTAGTTTAACTAATATTAATATGACAAATGAAACAATTAACTTTAACTACTTTAACTAATATTAATATGACAAATGAAACAATTAACTACTTTAACTAATATTAATATGACAAATGAAACAATTAACTACTTTAACTAATATTAATATGACAAATGAAACAATTAAGTAATTTAATAGATAAACGAGAACTCTAACAATTAACTACTTTTATAAAATGTATGAATGTGTATAAGTCTATATCAATGAGTATAAGTATATATAGTATATATAATGTGTAAATATATTATAAGTAATATATAATATAATGTATAACTATATATAGTATATATAATATAATGTGTAAAGAATTATAATATGAATGTGTATAAGTATATATTTATAAGTAGATAATTCATATATAAGTAGATATAATAATTATATAAATTATATATATGTAGAAAGAATTTGGAGAAGATGAAGAATGAAGATGATTGAATATGAGAGATTGAGAGAATAGAGAATTTAGAGAGTAGGAAGAGTTGTAGAAGAAGAGGTGTAAAAAATGTATAGAAAATAGGAGTATAAATAGGTTTTTTTTGTATACCCCACCCCCACCCCCACCCCACCCCCTAACCCCCCAGACCCCCCTCCTATGCTCCCAACGGCTATAGAGCCGTTTGGGAGCTCTCCCAACGGCTATAGAGCCTTTAACAATTTTAAAAAATAATAAAAATTTGACCGTTGCGGCTCGAGCCGGTTCACTAAAAAGCAGGCCCGGGACCGAACCGCTATCACACCGGGCCGGGTGGCCCGAACCGGGCACCAACCGGTTCACCGGGCCGGTCCGGTTTCGGACCAGTTGGCCCGGCCCGAGTCCATCCCTATTGAGGGAGGATCCTGGCAATTTGAACGAAATCTGTTATTATTAAAAGAAGTTAGACCTGATGACATTCCTCATAAAATTGTTTTGAATGAGGCAGATTTTTGGGTTCAAATTCACAATGTCCCCTATAGTGGCACCACCAGAAGGGTGAGAAATTTTATAGGGAAATTCATAAAATATGACGATAACCAAAATAGTGATAAATGGGAGGCCTATATGAGAAGAGGTACAAATCTGAAGAAAGATGGTAAGAGTTATTGGGTAGACTTCATATATGAAAAGTTACCCAACTTTTGTTTTATTCGCGGGTTAATTGGACATTCAGATAAATTCTGCCATTTAATATATGAAGAAGATCTAGTTCTGGAGAAGAAATATGGAGTCCAGCTTAGAGCTGGTAGTGGGGGGAAGACGAGTCCTACAGGGGGAAACCAATGGTTACTGGAGGGTTCAACGAGCCCTGGCGGGGAGCAGAGGTATGGAGAGGGTAATAGGTCTGAGGACAAAATGGGGGTGGAAGAAGAGAGTCAGCTACAGATTCCGAGCAGAGTATAACAAAGGGAGTTGGGGATGAGGGCAAAGATGAAATAGCGGAGGAACGGAAGAGAAGGAGACTATGGGAGAAATAGGGGGAAGGGCAGGATGGAAAAGATAACATGGCTCTGGATGAAACAAAAAACAGGGAGGAGGCAGACTTCGACCAGCAAGTCCGCTTAAGTGGATTCGGATTCAGAAAAATAAGATTTGGGTGCTTGTGCAGATCGGCTTGTTTGGATACCAGCTCAAGTTTATTAGTTTTATTTTTATTTTCCATGATATTTCCTTTTATTTCGTGTGTTGTTTTGTTTGTTGGATTCCTTGCTGTAAGACGATTGATTTAGATATGAGGATGAGAGAATTGGGGTAACCATCTGATGGGGTATATGGGTCTGGACCCCAGGACCCACATACTCAGAAGAATAAGAGGCACAGTTGTCACCTAGTGGGGCCTTCGTCGGCCAGATGGCCATCCATCGGCCAGAAAGATATCGACTCAGATTATAATCCAGAAGACTGGAGAACCGGGTGTCACCGTCGGCCATGGCTCCGTCGGCCATACCCTCGTCGGCCAGAAATAGCTCACAGAACCGGATTCCATACTTAGTCATTTTTACATTCTTTGTACTCGACCCAGTAGTGGCCCAATTGTAAATGGGCCTCCCAAGCCCAAGACTTGGCCCTAATTTCCTCTATAAATACTCCCCTTGGGAGTAGTTGTAGGGGGTTCACAAATCATTATTAGCAAGCATTTATAGCACTTCTCTCTCTAACTCTCACTTCTCTCTAGAATATATACTCTATCATTTGGTCTTAACGTCGATGTGTGCATAACACACATTGGACGAAATGCAAATGGTGTGTACGCACACCTTACACCTTACTTCTTCTGCCAAATAAATATGGTCTCCATTTCTATACTACCAAAACATCCCTTTCATAAACAGATCTGCTTCGGTTCCTTTTAGATAATTCCTTGCTCATATAAGCAATATGTTTCCCTTCTTGCATTAAGACTGCTCCAAACCTGTCCCAGAAGCATCTGTTTCCAGAATAAACATTTTGTTGAAGTCAGGTGTTGCCAGTACAGGTACAAAAGTCATGATTCTCTTTTGTTCTGCAAATGCATTAGCGTCCTTGTCATCCCAATAAAAACTGTCTTTTTTAAGATGTGTAAGAGGTAATGCAATCCTGCTGCACCCTTTCACAAATCTTTGTAATATCCGGTTAACCCCAGAAAGCCTCTTAGTCCTTTCAAATCCCTAGGTCCTCGCCAGTTAACCATAGCTTCAATTTTGGCAGGATCAGCTGAGACTCCATTCCCAGATATGATATGCCCCAAATACACCAACTGTGGTTGTCCAAAAGAGCACTTTTTCAGGTTAACAACCAGCTGATTCTCCTTTAAGGCAAATAGAACTCTCCTCAAATGTTCCTGATGCTCTTCTTCAGACTTACTGTATATCAGTATGTCATCAAAAACCACCAAGGCAAATTTCCAAGACTTAGTCCGAAAGGCATCACTAAATATTCAGTGTCCCTCATGCGTTCTAAAAGTTGTTTTCTGAATATCAGCATCATTCATCCTAATCTGATGGTAACCAGACTTTAGGTCTAACTTGGAGAATGTAATAGCTCCTCGTAGCTCATCCAATAGCTCCTCAATGATAGGTATGGGAACCTTGTCTGAAATGGTTATCTTATAAGGCCCTATAATCTCCACAAAATCTCCATCCCCCATCTTTCTTCCTAGCTAATAAAATGGGGCTGCTGTAAGGGTTGTTACTATGCTGTATAATCTCAGAATTTAGCATTTATTTGATGATCCTTTCAATCTCAGTTTTCTGATACTGTGGATATATGTAGGGTCATATATTGGGAATCTCAGCTCTTTCCTTTATGTTGATTGCATGGTCACATAATCTGCTTGGAGGTAAACCTTGTATAGGTTTGGAAACTTCTGGAAATTCTGCCATTATATCTTTCCAGATATGATCCATCATCATTTCTTCCTCCAACTTCAACAAACTGCCTTCACAGTATACTAGATACCCATCCCTTGTGACATGGTTTTCAAAGAAATTTCTATTGAGTTTAACTGTGGATCTCCTTGAATGCTTTGATCCAGCCCTTGTTGTTACCATTTAGTACTTTGCTTTTGAAAGTTGATCTCCACATCTCCCAGACTAGTCAACCATTCCATTCCCAATACCAAATCAGTTCCCCCCAAATTTAGAATGTAAAAATTCTGCCTTATGTCACTACCCTGCATACATAAGGTCAAGTTCTCACATCTCCATTGTTGGACACCGTCTCTCCATTTCCAATTTGAACTTTATATCGTGAAATGATAGTAAAAGGTAGTTTCAATTGTTCTACCATATTCTGAGATGGCCCCACTGTCAATAAGAACTTCCACCTTTTTCTCACCATTACCCCATTTTAAACATCCTTGAACCTTAAAAGCCCTCATAGATGGTATGCCCTCCCTACTCACAAGTGAAAGTTGCATGGACTTAGATTCCATGACAGTCTCCTCCTCTTCTGATATTTCAACATTTGTCCCTTCCAATTCTTCCCCATTTTCTGAATCTTCTACAAGTATCAACTTATAGTTCTTCAATTTACAAGTGTGTTCCCTGTTCCACTTCTCACCACACTTGAAACAAATGCCCTTCCTGCTCCTATCCTGAAATTCCTCCTGAGATAGATGTGGTCCCACTCTTCTGATTCCAGATGGATTTATTTCTATCACCTTCTTCCCCACAGGATTAAACCAAGGTTGGTTACTCTTGTTTTCTGCTACATTCTTCCCAGTATTATGAGACCAAGAGCTTCGAGATTTGGATTTGTATCCTTCTCCCCAAGCCTGAGATTTAGAAGATACAAGTCCCTTTTCTTTCCAAAGTGGTTTGTCCTCTACCTTGCTTCTCAAATAGATGGCATCATTTCTTTGTTCAATCAACAGGGCTCTATCCATTATTTCAAATAAGGACCTTGAATTGTACAGTTCCAGTTCAGTCTTAATCTCCTCCTTAAGACAAGTAATAAAAATTCCTTTCAGTATTTCTTTGTCAACATTCTTTTGGGGTGTTATTACCATCTCAAATTCATCTATGTACTCCTTCACAGATCCACTTTGTTTTAGACTAAACATTGGTCCATAAGGATTTAGGATCAACTCAGGTTGAAATCTACGAATAATAGATTCCTCCAATCCATACCACAGAGGCTTCCATTTTTTCTTCTTCCTCAATTTGATTCAATCAGAAATACCTCTCCATCCTCACAATCAGTTATACGCTCCATCTCCATTAAACAAAGGCAAATCTATCTTTCTATCTGTATGGATTGGGATTCTAATATTCTCATTACTTCGTCAATGATTATGAATGTGAGAGTGAATAGAATTACCTCTTGATGCCATCGGACTGTTTGATGATTGCGTATGATGATGATGTGGTGATCGTGATCTTCCTCTAGATTGAAACTGTTTGTTCATCGCAGCAACCATGCTGCGATGTTATCCATCATAAATTTTACCTCTAGATAGTTTCGCTCCAGTGAGTCCATTCGATTCTCCATTTTAGCTCTCGTTCTAACCATTCACAGCTGAAACGAGAAGTTTCTAGTTTTTCGACAACTATTCCGGTCACCAGAAACGACTGCTCTGATACCAATGATAGAACACTGATAATCCCTAGCTCAGAACAGTGTGACATTATTTAGAGAAATAGAAGAACAGATCGAGAAAGCTTTATTCACCAACTGAACAGATCACAAGGATACAATGCTAAGGGACCATTTGAGATGCCCAATCTTCAAAATCCAGTCTCAACAAAAAATAGCAGCCTACCACCACCCAACTATCATTATTCTATTTATAGTATTTCATCCACGCAAGGATATAAGAATATCACTAATTAGTTAGCTACTTAACTAACTACCCTCCAGTTTCTCCTTTGATATACTTTATTAAAATATTGAGTAGGGTGCTTACCTGGATGCCTATCAAAAAGTCGATCCATTACTCTCTGTGGTCAAAGAATCGGAATGGAAAATGCAGAACAAAATAAAAATAGAAAACCTCTTGATCCAAAGCAGTTTTCATTATATTGAGAATAAAAAATGACTAAAACTGTCACAAAAGAAGTCCTAAAAACCTAGCACCTTTACTTTCCCTAACGTTTGCCCACATCCTGAAAACTTGTGATACAAATGTAAGTTTATAACTTTAGCCTAAAATTTTTCAAATAATAAAACGGCATGTAAAATATAAACTTGAAGAAACAGAATTAGTAGATTACACTAACCAATAATGAGGATATTGACTAAGATGGACTATCAAGTACGTTAGCAGAAGTCCAAATTGCAAACCCTGGATACCTCGAAAAATAAAAGAGAGTCGTGAATGAAAAGGAAGTCGAAATACAACAGACTGGGGAAGTTCCCCACTCACACAGAAAGAAAGTAATGAATCCTAGCATCTCCTATGAGGGAAAGACCCAAACCCATTCCCTAAATTCAAAGACTATGTTGTTTGAAATGCATTCAAATGTGATAGAGGAGTGATTTCAGAGTTCAGACTTCAGACCCTTATTCAGTAGGGTGAATAAGAAAATTTTATTACAGAACGTCAAATAAAGCTAAGATCTATCAAGCTCCTCCCCAAACGATACAAATGATTGAATGAACCACCTTCTACTCCGCAGACCACAATAAGAGCCTTATCTATGGAATTCGCTAGTTCCTCCCTCTAACCCCAGTGTCTGTTTTCACACTTCAATCCCTACACAAAGAGCCTATATATAAACACGAAAAATAAGACATACTTCAAGTTAGAAAAGTATTAAGCATAAAGACTCTACGTGTTCCTTAAAGTACATTCTAAGAAAAAACATCTCGCTAAAATAACAAAATTTTAAATCATCTCAAACATTTAAGTTGTCAATGACCATACATTAGTATCCTAATGATGTACACTAACACTTAACTTTCTCTTCAATTATAATATTTGAGCAGCAAAATGGTCTCCATAATAGTAAATATCAATAGCACGCATACACTATTGCATCACCTCTCACGTCTACAATTTTGGTTTAGAGTCTCACCACATGGAGAGAGCTAGGACATAAAGCAAATAATAATAATAATAATAATAATAATAATAATAATACCAAAAAGAAAGAAAAAATGCAGTATGTATTAAAGAAAAGAGTTTTTTAAAAAAAAATCCTTTTAATCTTATCCTGAGTGAAAAAATTGTATTTTTCTCACTCCTTTTCACCCTTTTTAGGATTCTCAAATCATAGACCAAAAAGAGGGAAAAAGTTATTTAAATGCAGAATCACATAAGAACATGCTGGATAGTGACCTAAGGACTAAATCTGGAACATATCATATTCATATATCTAGCTTGGAATGTATATTAAGTTGACATTGAAGAAGGATGGGTGCCTAAGTGATTTTCACAGTAGGGTAAGGGTAGTAAAAATTAGAATTTGTTTTTCCTTCAAATTCTCGTGTAGTTATATAAAAAGTGGATGCATTACTCTCTATTGTCAAAGAATCAGAATTGAAAATGCAGAACAAATAGAAAATAGAAAACCTCTGGATCTAAAGCAGTTTTTATTATATTGAGAATAGAAAATGACTAACACTGTCACAAAAGAAATCCTAAAAACTTAGCACCATAATTTCCCTAACTTTTGCCCACATCCTGAAAAGTTGCAATATAAAAGTAAGTTTATAACTTTAGCCCAAAAAAATTCAAATAATAAAAACGGCGTGTAAAAGATAAACATGAAGAAACAGAATTAGGAGATTACACTTACCAATAATGAGGAGATTGACTAAGGTGGACTATCGAGTACGTTAGTAGAAGTCCAAATTGCAAACCCTGGATAACTCAAAAATAAAAGAGAGTCTTGAACGAAAAGGCGGAAGTCGAAATACAATAGACTGGAGACCGCTCGATCAATACCTCATGAGATAGGAATGATAGTGGGATTAAAAAGGAAGTTGATACAAATGCCGAGGAAGATCGAAGCAGAGTGAAAAAATAGGAGATACCTTAACAATAAGCATAACAAATTTAGAGGGGATACTTAGTTTGCTTAATTGTAGATGGATGGATTCTAGCCTTCGGATTTCTTTTTTAATTGAAAGAGATGATTTAAAAATCATTTTAATAAATAGAGCAATTATCTTCATCAAACCGTAGAAAAAGAAAACAAAAGCACCATTATAATAACAAACCTCATATTCATCAAACTGTGAGCTGATTAAAAAGGAAAATTACTTTTGGCTGCTAAAGTGATACCTAAAATTCAGTAGTTCATACGGAGTATAACTCAATGCTTGAATGGTTGACAAATAAAGTGTAATAATTTGTGCAGTTGAAAAATAGAAAAAAGCAGAGACCCATTGAACGTGAAATAGGCTTTGCAAAATTGTGTTCCACACATATTTGAATGGTGAACCATTAATATGAATCTGCCAAACGTGAACATCAGCACAAGAAACCCTAAAATTGGATATATTCAAACATAAATATGACTATCACCCATTATAGCACTCGCAAGCTTTAGGTTAGTACACAGAGAAATTAGAAAATAGATTTTAAAATATTAACACCAACTTGGCTATTGCATTTATATGCCTGATATTTTGTCCATCTGATGGAGGGAAAAACATAGTTCGTAAAAACTACATAATACTCTGTATATGAGAATATCTGGAAGAGGAAAAGCTTAACTTAGAAGATAAGGTTGAGGTCATGATCTGGCGCAAAAGTACTAGAAGAAGCAGTAATTCGAGGGGCTGAGGTGTTCTTGGAAGAAGAAATGTCTAGTTGCAAAATTTTAAAAGTAACGAGTATTTTAAAAATTTACGTGTATTAAAAGTGAATTTTTAAAAATTCACAGAGATGTATTAAATATTCAAAGTGAATTTTTAAAAATTCAAAGTATTATGTGTATTCAAATTTTCGTTCGTTCTCGTTGACTTCTAAAATCATGAATTTTCATGGACTTTTAAGGCTATGTTTGGCACGCATAAATCTATGTTTTGTAGCTTTTATATTGTTCAAAAAGTCTCAAAAAGCTTCTAGTTTTATGTTTGGCATGACAACTTTTAAGAGTTTTTCAAAAAATAAAAGATATTTTTTGAGATGCTACAGGGAGTAGCATCTGGAAAAAACCCGTGACTTTTAGTATTAATTAGTCCTAACAGCTTGTATACCAAACCGAACTAAATCAAACAGTCAGCTTTTTACCAAACAACTATCACCTTTTCTCTTTAAGATCTTTTCAGTCACTAAAAGCTAACAGTTATTAAAAAACTTACAAAAGTATCTTTTCAGCTAGTTGTGTCAAACATACCCTAACTCATTCTTAGTTCAATCATTCTCTACAATTGTTTCCTCCACTCACCAAAGATTTGCGTGGACTTTTCTGATTGCGGATTTGGCTAATTATTTATCCTAGATTACAACCCGGCCCACAAGTCCAAGACTAGTACCGACCGGGTCGGGAGGTGGGTACTTGGATGGTCTCAATATGCAAGATTTTTTTTCCAATGATCCTAATGTGGAAGATTTAAACATTAAATTTTAATTTTTTTTATCATTTTACGATAAGTAAAGTTGAACAAGGAGATTCTACATTCAGACTGATATCCAAGATAAACTTAAATAATTAAAAAGTGGTATTTTATATGTCGTCTTATGAAGACAAATGTAGGGGTGAGATCGGTTCAGTTGCTGAAAGAAAATTAGGAACCATTTGAAGAACCGTTAATCTCATATGGATTCGGTTCTAGAAAGTTTTAAAAGAACCGATATAAGAATCGATAGTATTACATCAGTGCAATTCTAATACGTTGTCGGTTAACCATTAAGAAAAAATCAATTATTATTGTGTTTCATCGTTAAAGTTGCTAACACATGAAAAAATAATTTCAAATTAATAAATACTCCGTATTTAACCATAAATAAGTATACAAAATTTAACCATTAAAAAATGAAAGGAAAACAGTTATTAAGAAGAAAAACTTGATAGAACATATGTTTGTACCACATGCAGCAATTGTTAATACTGGGGAGTTGGGAAACTGTTTTAGAAAATCTGGCGGATTTCTCAGAGTATCGTGTGATCACTTTCCGAATCTAATATTTCGACCCTATGCCTGGGTTACTCGAAATTTAGATTATGGGGATAATAACTCTAAGAGACAGTCCAAAACTGAGGCACCAATATATAGACCACGAACTAGCAGTTTTAGTAGAACTCGAATTCTTCTGATTACCAAAGAGATAAGGCCAATCAGTTAGAGTTTTACTCTAACAGAAAGTCATTCTATTAAATAATTAATATGGACATGTTTATCCGAAAATAAATTTCCATATTTATTTCTTTAATAAAATAAAATTTTGGTCCGGGGCGCTGCCCCGAGCCCCGCGAGGGCGGCCTCCCGCGAGACCCCCGCCAGGGACGCTGCCCCTTGGACCCCGCAAGGGGGCGCAGCCCCCTTGACCCCCGTCATTTAATCGAACCAAGTTTAAATTTAATTTCGTACAAGTGTGCGCTCCGCACCTCCTAACTTGTCTAAAATTAAACTTGAACTCCATTGGTAATCTGTAAAATCCATTACACTAAAATGAACCTGGTGATACTAAAATCACCAACAGCAATAAGTAACGTTTTTGTAACGATTAATGTTCTTAATCATTGAGTTGTGTAATATAACAATTGATCATAAAGAGATCGAGATTGTTAAACATTCTCGAAACTTTGAGTTTTCTTTTTAATAAATATAAATTTGGATTCTTATGCTTCGTTTATTCTTGTAGAACTCTGCGTTGCTAGATGAATTACATTTGTTTCATTTATTCATTTAATTATTTCTTATCATATTATACAGAAGAAATTACTAACAGTAGAACTAAAACATAGCATTTTTCTCAAAGTATGATCATATGCTTGTTTTTTCTTAAATAGGACTAATTTAATTAATTAGTACGGAGTATAAATAATTGTTACTAGTTCTCTTGCATAACTAAGGTCTTTTTATTGGTGGCGGATGAGTCCAATGACGATGATGGCGAACTCCGGTGACAGAGGCGGACATGCAGATGGTAGCGGCGATCTAGGTGAAAATTTCGATGTCCCGACAGTGCTGATCCGGATTTAAAAGTCTATGAACTTTTTGAAAGTCTATAAGTTTATTCATGGGTTTAAAAGACAATAGAATTCATTCATAAAAAAGTCTATGAATTTACAAGTTCATTGACTTTTTTAAAAGTCCATGGATTAAAAAAAATGCATCACAATCCATATTCAATATGAAACAATCCCTAACCTACAAGAAAACTTTGATGGAAAGAGAAAGAAACTATAGAGGGGTACGCAACCGGGATAAGTAAATCGAAGAAGATTACCAAAATGCCCTAAAATGTTAGGCGGTAAGGTCAATTGGTTCAATTAATAAAATATAGAAGTGATAACATAATCTATTTACTGAAAGATTGAAGAAACCACACTAATATATTATCTCCCTCCCATTAATATTGGGAAATGAGGAGATTGTGCAGTTATTAAGAAAATTTGATTTGTATGGTTGATATTAAATTCATATAGTAGAAAAAGTAAAAATGATTTAGAACCACACATTCTTGCCAAATTTGGTATGACACAATATTAGTAGGACAGATCGAAAAAGAAAGACATAACAATTATAACGGGACAATGGGGTACATAACTTATTTTTCTCATCGAGTAATATTGAATCGCGTCCCTTTTGCCCCTATGTGTAGAAAAAACAATACTCTTAGAGAGTTAAATAAAATTTGTAACATTGAAATTGACTGAATCAGTTGATGATGTTGAAATTTATGAAGTTCTCACTCAAGTGGGTAGATTGACTTATTCTACCGATTTACGAGAAAATTATATTTAAATATATTTTGTTAATAAAATAAATAAAAATTTTATGAAAATAGCTAAATGGCTCTCTCTGGAAAAGTAACTCCAATTTGAGTTATTTTGCTTATTACACAATTCAGCACGCGAAATCAAAAGTGAAATTTTTTGATGATAAAGGTGATAAGCCGAAAAACATGACCACTAAATGTGCTCTTAATCAATTAATAAAGTTTCAAGTATCTTTTTACTCCACACAAAGAGTTGTGATACTTAGGATGTTTTTACTTGGACTGTAATTTCTCCCAGACTAGATCAGACCATACTAGTTCAAACCAGATCAAACTTGGATAATTATAAAAATACAAAGAAACTAGATCAGACCAGACCAGTTCAGATCAGACCAGACCAGACCAGACCACCAAAGTATAATCCAAGTAAAAACATTCTTACATTCGTCAAACATTCTTTATGAGCTTCAACCTTTATCCTATTAATTCTTTTTCCTTTGAAAGAATTCGATAATTATTAATTACATCCCAATGCACGAAAGAAACTTCTAGTATGTACAAGTTTAGATAATTTTGAGCCACTAAAATAGTCATGTATGAGATGTGGTATGAGAGAACTTTATGGGCGACCAAAATGGAGAATGGGACAAACATAACCACATAATTAAATGAATTGATTCTTGACTTTCTTCGGTCTACTTCAATGTAAGGAAAAAGTAACAAATCAGTCCTCAAACTAACATCAATAGTGCAAATGATCTCATAAATAAATAAAAAACCTTCGATCAAATTATCCAAGTCCACGATAAAGTGAAAACCACCCCTTAAATTAAAAAAAAATTACAACCATATTATCTAACTTGGTGATATAGGGTATGTTTGGCACAACTAGCTGAAAAGATACTTTTATGAGCTTTTTAACAACTGTTAGCTTTTACTGACTGAAAAGATCTTAAAAAGAAAAAATGGTAGTTGTTTGGTAAAAAGTTGACTATTTGATTTAGTTTGGTTTGGTATACAAGCTGTTAGGACTAATTTATACTAAAAGTCACGGGCTTTTCCCGGATGCTACTCTCTGTAGCATCTCAAAAAAGATCTTTTGATTTTTGAAAAGCTCTTAAAAATTGTCATTCCAAATATACAACTAGAAGTTTTTAGAGACTTTTTGAACATTACAAAAGCTAGAAGGCAGAGACTTATGTCTGCCAAACATAGCCATAGTGCAAATGCCTTTCCTGAGCGGTAGTTTACTGGTTAAAGCTAATGTGCGTCATTTATTTAAAATATTTATACCATATAAGATTCATTTATCCACATCAATATATCTCATAGGGATGAGCATGGGACGGTATGAGACAGTTATAGAACGAGGTTGAGCATGCAGCGACGGGGGCGACGAGTTTTGTAGCGACAGGGGCGGTGGGTGCCGCGGTGATGGGGGCGGCGGGTGTTGAGTTGACGGGGGCCACGGGTGTCACGGACACGGGGGCTACGGGGGCCACTGGTGTCGCGGCCTCAGGCTAGTGGCTAGGGTTTTTAGCACATGAGTAGGAATTTAGGGTTTTATAATATCAATCTAAGTGCATATTAGTCGATATAAATTATTTATTTATTTATCAAATATAAAAAATTTAAATACTCTCTCCGTCATTTAAAGTTTGTCCTAGTTTGACTTTTTTAGTCAAACTAGGTAGACGTTTGACCGTAATTATATATTAATATATACCTATAAAATCTATAATAAATTGACATTTGAATAATACATATTTCAAAGAATCATATAAATTAATTTTTTAGGGATAAAATATTATTAATTTTGAGTAATTAGCGGTCAAAGTTTAATAAGTTTGACTCAAACAGTCAAAGTAGGACAAACTTTAAGGGAGAGAGGTAGTAATATTGTGGGAGAAAAACTAATGATGTCATAGATTGGTA